CATCCTCTAGTTGCTAAGGTCAAAAACCTTGACTTCCCTATATCTATGCTTTATTATTTCATGAAGAGGCATCTCACCTCGTGATTTCTTGCTCTTACATCCCACTGCTGGTCTACCTATAAGTTTTTAATGACTCCACCTCAAAAATATGCCTACCATCTTGATCCAAATCAGCAGCCTCCTAACTGGTCTTCTTTCTTCCATGCAGGCCACACTGATCCTTTTAGAACAAGTCAGATGAAATCACTCTTCTGCTCAAATCCTTCCTAAGGCTCCTCACAACAAAATGAGCAAAAGCCAAAGTTTATATGATCACCTACAAGGCCCATGTAAGCTGGCCCTCATTCCCATGACCTCTCTGACTTCGTGTCCCACTACACTCCCCATAGCAGGTATACTCCTTTGCACTTGGTGTTCACCTGGCACGTTCCCTCACCACCCAGAAAAGCCATCCCTAACCATCCTATAAAAAGTGTAACCACCCACCCACCCTCAACCCTTCACTGGCACTTTGCTGCTTTATCTCCACGGCACTTATCACCCATCTGACATATTGTATATGTCTTTGCTTAATTTGTTTATTGTCCAACTCCACCATGAAGGCAAAGATTTTTCTTTGTTTACCACCATTTTTCCAGAGCCTAGAATAGCATGTAGCACAGATTAGGGGTTCATATTGGATGAATAATCGAATGGAGGGTTCTCAATTCAAGCTCCCAAAGCTCCCTATGTCTATATCTATCCCTCATTATTTCATGAAGAGGTACCTCACCTCCTGGATGAGCCTAAATTATCCACCTAGGCTCCTAAGCCTATCTCCTTTTACTTTCTTAGAGACCTTATCCTATCAATTTCTTTCTTTCTCATCTGTTTTTTTCTCCCTCTAACCTCCATATTCTCTCTTTTCCTATATGTACAAAAAGTTCTAAATATCTTGCTACCCTCTTTAGCTACCATCTTCTCTCCTTTTATCACAAAACCACTCAGAAGAGTAGTTAACATGCTGTCTACACTCCCTCCCCACTCACTCAGTCCCTCAGTCTGGCTTCTATCACCATCACCCTACTGAAAATATGCCTTTGAAAATCACTGAGGCCACCTAATTGGCAAGCCCAGTGCATTTTTCTCAGTCCTCCTTCTCATGACCTCTCTACAGTGACATTGCTGCCCTTCCCCCCGCTCCTCCTCCTGGAAACCCTTTACTATCCTGACTTCTGTGATGACCCACAGTCCGCATCTCCTCTCACCAGCATGAACATTCATTCTCAGTCCACTGTATGGCCTCCATTTCCATCATGGCTGTTTTACCCTACGTTCTTTTCTCTGCATGCCCAGTGACATAGACATCATCCATGCCCAAAGATGTACATTTCACCTTTGTGAGGATGGCTCCAAATCTATAGCTCTTTCAGACTCCAATTCTGTATATTCAATTGCCTTTCATACATCTCTACCTACAGGCTCCACCATCACCTCAAACTGTTACCCTGAAGTCTTCATCTTACACTAAACTTGCTCTTTCTCCTAACTCCTGGCTTGTTAATGGAACTATCATTCTATTTCTATTCATGGAACTGCAGAATCATCTTTGATGTCTCCCTTTCCCTCACCCACTACATCCAATCAATTTGTAAACACCCACTTCTTGCACAGCATCCTTGGCATTCATCTCTTCTTTTTCATTTCCATGGTCAGCACCCTGATCCAGTCCCCATACCCAAGCTATCTAATATGCTCCTACATCTCCCAACTCAAAGTATCTCCAAAACTACAGCTTCCTAAACTACATCTCAGATCATGGCATACTCTCCCGATTAAAATAAAGTTTCCTACACTGCCACTAAGTAAGTTTCAAGCTCTTTAGTCTGGCTTTTAAGACCAACCAGAGGCAGGACCCAGGCTACCTTTCTTGACTCCTATGTTTTTCTGTCTTCACTGTGCAACCTCTTTCTCCAATTACCCTATTCAGTTTCCAAAATCCTACCCATTGTCCAAGATTCTGTTTAAAACCCACACTCAACACAGAGTCACTCCAATCTCTCGCTGATAGTGATATCTCCTTTTTCCTCGATCCCACAGAACTTTCTCCATACTTCCCTTATTACCAATGACTTTAAAGTTCCAGCTCTTTTTTCCTCTTAATAAACTCTAGACTCCTTAAGGATAAGATCCACATCTTGCTCCCAACATGCATTGAAATCTCTATCTCTAGAGACATTTGAGATCAGTCTAGTCACAGAACTGGGATCATAAGATAACTTGATTGGACTCACCAACTCTGACTCTTATTTCTTTTTCTTGTCTTATTGCACTGGCTAGGACATCCAATACAATGTTAAATGATAGTGGTGATAATGGGTATGCTTACTTTGTCCCTGGCTGTGATAATATTTCTAATGTTTCACAAGAAAGTGTAGTGTGTGCTACAGGTTTCTGGTACCTACCCCTTAATAAGTTAAAAAAAACTACGTCATTGTTCTCTGAGATCTAAGCTGAAATAAAGCATAAGGAGTTGTTGGATCAAAGTGGAAAGAACCAGGGACATGATACAGAGCATGGAGGATAGCCAAGTAGGAAAATGAAGACCTGAGGGAGAAAAGCCAGGAGAAACCAGATCAAGTTCATGGCCATGAAGACATTCTCCCTTAGATCTGAGCTTCCTGGGTTACTCATGTTAAAGCTTATGTTCCAGCTTCTTGTGGAATTAGAATGAGCAGAAAGAGGTGATGGAAATTTATCCTCCCTAGCTTCTAGACTATTCTGCACATTGATCCTGCTTATGTGCCTTTATCTACACTTGCATGGCTTGCATGGCAGACATCCTGAAGGGTTACTAAGGATCTGCTGACATAAAAAACACTGTTCATGACGGGCATGGACCAGAGAGACCCCTTTACAGGCCTGGAAACCAGGTATAACTGCTCCTCTATGCATCTCATCCCTTCTCCTGAGTCATACACAGTTGGTGGAAGAAATGGGAGCAGAGATGTGCCAATAATATCGCCCCTTTCCTATGACTTCTTGGCAGCCAAAGACCGAGCAGCTACGAGATACAGAGGCTGAACGCCAAGACCTCAGAAACTAGTAGGAGAGAAAAGGCTGAGGGGGGATGCACTACAAGATGGGCATCCTTCCTGAAACATTCAGGTATGCCTTCCTCTTGAGCTAGCTCCAGGAGAGCTATACAGAAGGGTTTTATTAGGGGGAGGTAATTCATCTTGTTCCTCAGAGAAAAGTCCCCTGGATCCTACCCTTCATTAGGCTAGACTGCCACTATTCCTCAGGCCACTACCCCAATTCTGTAAAATATTGAGAGGGCTCCATTCCCCTCCCTTCAGAAAACCAGGAGGAAAAGTCTGGACCACTCCCATGGAGTCTTTCTTTCACTGCTAGGGTTACAGAGCTACTTATCCTGTGTTTTGACTCTTGGATAAAAGCAATCATGTGCTGCTAGACTAGCTCTCCAGGGGAGAGCCCTAATTGCCAGTTTCAATGGTGTAACTTCTTCCATTATGGCCAATTTCAAGTCATGGACAGTTGAGCTGGGGACTGTGCTCTGCTCTGGGTGTCCATGCCCCCACACCCAGGTCCTGGGCCCAGCCCAATAGCCAGCTGGCCTACTTCCCCAAACCCACCATCCATCCCCAGCAAGGGTGTCTCCCTCTCCTTGCAGCTGGCATGGTGACTCAGCTTCCCATAAATTTAGGAAAAAGGGGTGCAGGGCAGAGTCAGCTGCCCAGATTGCTCTTCTCCTCCCTGAGCTTCCACCACTCTATCAGCTGAGGAACTTGGCACAAGCCCCCTGCCCTCCAGCCCCAGTCTCTGGTTCACACCTGCCTGGGCTTTAGCTACATAACAAAATCAAGCCATAGGATTCCCCACCTGGTTTGAATACCCCCATGAATGGTCATAGGCTTAGGCCAGTGGAAAGGAAGAGCACCCTTCCTGGCCCCCCCAATATGGCCCGAACAGACTGCCATTTCTTGCCTTTATCTCTCCAATAAGCTCTTCCTATTGCTCCACTCTCTCCTCTCTCCAGAAAGATAAGCCCATTCACGTTCTGATAGGAAATGAAGCTTTGTTTCTCAGCATCTGCTTCCTCATACAAAGCTGGTCCTAAAGCGAGGACCAACAGGACAACTGGGCCAGAAGAGGGACATGGGCCTCCTCCGGAAACAGAGAAATATCCTGAAAGGACCCACCAGGATGGACACTCAGAGCGCAAGGGCGTCA